ATTTCATTACTCCAAGGAAAAGCCTTTAGAAGTCATTAGATCCTGAGGGTGGAACCCTCATAAATGGCACAAGTCCCATTATAACAGAGGCCACTAAAGCTTATTTGACCTTTGACCACGAGAGGGCACAGAAATCAGGAAATGAGCCCTCATCAGCACCTGAATCTGTCAGCACCTTGATCTTGGACTTTCCAGTCCTCAAAACTATGAAAAATAATTCTGTTGTTTATAACTCTATCCAGGTTATGGTAGTTTATCATATCAACCCCAAACAGACTAAAAAAGATCTTATACCATGAAAATTGTTACATTGGTAACATTTTTTTAATCACAATCAGAATTAACTTGTCATTTCTTCCTAATTCTCTGTTCAATGCTAAGTATAATTGAGAACTTGTCAACTAGCTGTAAAATCATGCATTCTTTTTTTTTTTTTTTTGTATACTGGGGAATGCATTCAGGGGCACTCAACCACTGCACTGAGCCACATCCCGAGCCCTATTTTGTATTTTATTTAGAGACAGGGTTTCACTGAATTACTTAGCACCTCATTTTTGTTGAGGTTGGCTTTGAACTCATGATCCTCCTGCCTCATCTCAGAGCTGCTGGGATCACAAGCATGCACAACTGTGAAATCCTGCATTCTTAATAGAAAAATTGGCCTCTGGGGGACAGAAACTGGTTCTTGTGAAAGCTAGTTAAAATTTACATAGGTATGTATATATATATATATATATACATGAATATACATACACATACTTATATGACATATGTATGTGACATATATGTCACAGATAAACAGTATTAAAGTACAGATATATAAACAGAATAAACAAATATGCAATATATCTGTGGTATTAAACTATCATGAAGGGTGAGGTTGTGGCTCAGCAGTAGAGTGCTTGCCTAGCACGTGTGAGGCTCTGGGTTTGATCCTCAGCACCACATAAAAGAAATAAAGGTATTGTTTCCAACTACAATAAAAAAAATAAATATTAAAAAAAGTATCATGAAAGAGGAGGAAAAATAGGAAAAAATATCTAAAACACTCCTTGGTGGGAACAATGAAAAGGAATTAAGAAATGCTACTTGAAGTAAATGTTCAATGACATTTGCTAGTTTCATCCAGCACAGTAAGTACTTTTCCTTAACATAATCCTACTTCTGAGTACTAGAGAGTCAACCGGGCACAATTGCTTGTTTTGTTTTTGTGTCAATAATATTGACTTAGGAAAATAAGTCTGCACAGAAAATAGAAATATTCCCATGACTCAGAGGAATGATATTTTAAGTGTAACTCTCATATTTCATCTGAGGACTACACACTCTTCCAAAAGAACATTTCGTCAATCCTCCAAGCAATGTATTTTACAGAGAAACAGAGAAGAGCACTCTTAGGTTCTCTTCACCTGTCTCCATGGGGATAACAATTAATTGTTCTAAATTCAGGCCTGGGAATTTTCATCTCAGAGTAGTAGAGAGCATCTGTGGAGCTCTTTCTGCAGTAGTCATGGCTCTCAGGTGAGGATTGCCTAGGAATCTCTGATGACCTCGTACCCAAGGGATCTGATGAATGAGCCACTCAGTAAAGGTCCATGCAGAATCAGTGTTGTCCTCAATGTCACTCTGACCTCCTCTCTCACTACTCAAGGCAAGTTGTCTGTTGTAAAACACTTCTCCTGGGAAAGGCACTGGTTGTTAAGATGGTTTCCAAAAGATAACTGTCTTTTCTCAAATGCAAAGGTGATGCTACATTCACAACAGAAAACTCATCTGTTCTAGCAAGTCCAGAAGAGAAAGTAATGGAATTCAAACATGAGTGATTTTGCACACATGGCAATAGCATCTGTCTTTCCAATGAATTTGAATATACTTGTGTCTGTGCTCCAGAGATACAGATTTCTCATTTTAAGATAGGATTCTCTTCTGGAACTCTTCCTGTGAGAACATTTCCTCACCCACCCCCATCTATGTTCTGAAGACACTGAGCCTTTTAGATCCATATTATGCCCTTTTAGAAGCAATGGTACCCTCCCTCTTCAATTGGTTTCTAATGGGAAAATACAAATACTAAAAAATATGGATCAGAATTTTTCAAGGTATCACCCGTAGGGTCCGTGTAGTCCAACATAATTGTCCCAGTTTCACCTGCACGGGTTGAGTTTCATAGATTTGCTTTCTGATAGCAGGAGAAATGCACATGGATTGCATGCCATGTTCAAACCCCACTGGTCTCTTTTAAGCTTGAAAATGAACATTACCTCATTCTTTCCTTGACTTCATGACCTTAAGTCCTCCTGAATTTTCTCCTACTTTCATGCTTAACTTCTTCTTCTTTATTGACTCAATATTTCTGCCCATCTCTTAAATGCTGTTGTCTTCAAATTTTCTCTTTTTTCTCTCTCTACAAAATATTTTGAAATGATCTTATCCACCAAATTTCTTTATATGTCATGGCTTCTGACCAGTCTTTTCCCTGAATATCAGACCTTCATTTAACAGCCGCTTGAGATATTAACTCACGTGTTCCAGAATTCTCAAAATCAATGTCTCTCACTGAACTTATCACACCTGCTGGAGATCCATCACCCCTATCCTTTCCAAGATTATTGAATAATGTACATGCCAAAATTTTGCTAGAAGTCTGGGTATAATCCATGGCCTCTTTCTCCCTTTCCATCTATATCCAATCGCACACCAAATGTCCCTTTCACATATATTCACTATTGCTAAGGCAATTCAGTTTACCACTATCTTTAACCTGAGTGAATTTACCAGCCCCTTAACTGTTTTATTGTTTAGTTTATACATAAAATTGTACACATTTATGGGGTACAAGATGATGCTTCAATATACATATACATTCTGTGATGTGCAGATGAGAATAAACATGTCTATCTCTTCAATATTGTTTACCATTTATTTATGGAGAAAACAGTCAAATCCTTTCTTGTAGCATTTTTTGAAATACACAATATATTATCATTATCTACAGTCTCCTTACTATGTGTTAGAACATCAGAACTTCTTTTTCCTAACTAACTATAACTTAGTGCCCACTGATTAACTTCTCCCCCTCCCCACTATTCCCATATTCTCCCAGCCTCTGGGAACCACCATTCTACCATCCACTTACACAAGATTACCTTCTTCAGATTCCACATGTGAATGTGATCATGTGGTATTGTTCTTCTGTGCCTGGATTATTTCACTTACAATGATCTCTAATTCCATCCCTATCATTGCAAATGACAAGATTTTATTCTTTCTTATGAACAAACGGTATTCCATTCTGTACATATTTGCTTTATCCATTCATCTATTGATGGACACTTGAGTTGTTTCCACTCTTGGTTTTTGTGACTAGTGCTGGGTAAGCGCAGTTGGCTCTTCAATATAATATCACTGAATGGTATGGTCTTCCTGTTTTTAATTTTTTTTCAGGAAACTCCATTTTGTTTTCCATAATAGTTATACTAACTTTCATTCCCACCAACAGTGTGCAAGCATTCCCTTTTTCTCTATATACTTGCCAGCCCTTGTTATTGTGAGTGTGTGTGTGTGTGTGTGTGTGTGCACCTATGCATGCACATGCACTGGAGTATAAATTCAGGGCTTCAAACAAGCAAAGTAAGTGCTCTAGCATGGAGCTACATCCCCAGTCTCTATCTTTTTGTTAACAGCCATTCTATCAAGAGTGAGGTGATATTTCATTATGGCTTTAACTTGCTTTTCCCTGGTGATTAGTGATGTCAAACACATTTTTATATGCCTTCAGCCATTCATATATATTCTTTAAGGTCTGTTACTCATTTTAAAATCAAATTATTTGTTTTTTGTGGGTTTTTTGTTTGTTTTACTATTGTAATGTGTGTATTATTTGTATATTTTTAATATTAATCCCTTGTCAGATATATAGTTTGCAAATATTTTCTCCCATTCTTAAGGTTGTTTCTTTGCTCTGTTAATTTTTTTTCTTAATGGTGCAGAAGATTGATATAATCCCATTTGTTTATTTTTACTTCCGGGAAAGAAATCTCTTTCCAAAAAAAAAAAAAATCTTTTTTATTCTAATGTTTGGAACTGGTTTTGTATCTTTTCTTCTAGTAGTTTTCTTTTTTCTGGTATTTTTATAGTTTCAAGTCTTACATTTAGATCTTTACCTCATTTTGTGTTGATTTTTATAAGAAGAGATACAGATCTGGCATTGTTCTTCTGCATGTGGATATCCCATTCTCCTCCCACCATTAACTGAAAAAAAAAAATCCTTTCTCCAATGCATGTTCTTAACACTTTTTATTTTGAAAATCATTTGGCTTTAGATGCATGAATTTATTTCTAGGCTTTCTTTTCTGTTCCACTGGCCTATGTGACTTATTATTATTATTATTTTTACTAAGACCATGCTGTTTTGATTATTATAGCTTCATAGCATGTCTTTCTTCTCTTTCTACTTTTCTTTTCTCTTTCTTCTCTCTCCAGTATTGTTCCTGTAACTTTGTTATATAATTTCGTCAGGATCCTTAACTCATCATTTTCTCTTCTCCACTAATCACTTATCTCTCATTTCCTCTTCATGTCTTCCAGGAATTTAATGTTCAAGTGTATTTCATTAAATTTTATTAACATACCATCATCTCTCTTGTCTTAGTTTATTGATGCTTTCATCATGGAGAGCTCCCTTCCTGCCGCCTCACAGCAGATTTCACTCCCGTATGCTGTCATAGTACACACCATCACTAACATCAGCAGCATGGCTGTTTGCATCCCTGTTCCTAAGCATATATCATGCTTCTGTCAACGAAGGAAAAATGCATTAGAGCAACCAGGCAAGAGAAAAAAATAAAGGACATCCAAATGGGAAAAGATGAAGTCAAATTGTCACATTTTCCACGATTTGGAATATTTACTTTAAAAAATTAGAAAATTAAAGAGAATTATAGACCTTGGGAGATAATATCTTGCTTTCTGTGACTTCTCTCTCTCTTTTTCTTTCTCAGAGCTCTTCCTGCCATGATGCAATGGGTCCGCACGCAGAAGCCAGGAGAGAGTGGCATCAATATTGTCACTGCCGATTTTGTAGAACTTGGTGATTTTATCAGCACTGTCATAAAGCTCAACTATATCTTTGATGAAGGTGAAGCCAACACTTGATAGTCCTAATTGGAGTGGTCATGAATAAGATAGAGAAGACTCATTGTATTAGGTGTATTATCTGTAAACACTCTGATTTTCCTTTTCCACTGAGTCTTGGAAAGGATTAGGGCTTGTAGTGGGTGGGGAAAAGGGGAAATCATTTTCTTCAGTGATTATGTCACAATCTACTATAAATATTTCATTTCCTATTTGATGAGCGAAATCTACTTCTAGTGTTAGGGATAAAAAAGTATAGTGAATTTTGTTTTTTGAAATTAGTCTTTTAACGTACAACTCATGAGTGGTTACTTGATTGCATTTTATAATTTCAACCTAGGGCTCCTTTACTGTCTAAACTCTCTAACCTTTCCACTCCCTCTGTTGCTCGCTCTTTCTAATCAGATGCTGTATGGTACTCAAAACAATTGAATGTCCAACATAATGTGTATTACCTTGTTGTACTGAAATTTATTTGTTTTGTGGGATTTGATATAATATTCTGTAGTCGTCTGCAATTGGGCAATCATAGCCAACTTTTGGTCATAGAAAATGTGCATCCAATCAGTTTCCCTGCATCAGTGATATTGGAGGCCATAATCAGTGATATTTGTGTTATATAAAAACAATTGTGTGTCACAGTATTTCCATTTAAGGCAGCTATAACTATAGTGTAAAAATTTTTTTTTGATAGGACTGAGTGCCAACTCCCTAGTAAAAAATGAGGAGTGAGGTATGTGGGGGGAGATGGATGTCACTTTAGTTCAGCAACCCCTAGAAGTAATAATACTCTGCAAATACCCAGTAAATGATGTTATAGCAAATGCATTAAAATCAGAAATCTGGATTCCTCCAATAACTTTCTTAACAATTTTGATTTAAATAAAAGGAAGAACAAAGAAAGATGAAAGTCAGGATTTCCAAATATGTTCTAAATCCCAGGTTTTCAGGAACATTTCTCAAGAAGTTTCCATTGACAGGAAGAAAGGAGAAAGAAAGAATAGTGGATGGAGTGTTTTAGAGCAATGTCTTCGAAACTATGTCCACCAAACCACAATGATCCATAAAATATCTCTAGGAAATTCTTGAAATACGTGTGATCTGGACAGACTTGTTTCAAATTGGCAGTCACTAATCCCTTCTGGGATCTATCCTATTCTAGAGGTTAGATGAAGGCAGGGGGCAAAAGTGTCATTCAAAGATTCTGTGATCTGACTTTTGATAATTCAAGCCCTTAGGAAAGCACAGTGATAACACAGTTTGAGCCCTGCCTCCTTTTGGTGTCTTTACAACAGTTGACAATTCCAAAAATTAGTTTTCAAAAGCACAAGGCCCCCTGACCTGTATGCATCACAGGAATATTGTGAGGCATTTATACAAATCTATAAAATTTGTTGAAATCCTTACAATTTTGAAGTATTTTTATCTTTTCATATTTAGAAATAATCGCACCTCCACATTTTTCTGGGACAGTGCAATTCCATGCAAATTGAGACTATGGAGAAATAAGAAGCATGCCCTCAGCTTTTAATTAATCCAAGTGCAAGATGTATAACTTAATATCTTAGACTTAGGTAAGGGAGTTGATTACATATGTCAAGATTATGGATAATCAAGAGTTGATTATGAATATTCATTGTCAGAAAACAGTACTTAATAGTAACTGCAGAGAGGGAATAAAAGATTTTTTATACTGAACAGAATGTTCATGAAAAATGTAGTACCTGTTTAGACCAAGTAGCACACGTATACATTTTATAAGCAACAGATACATTTGGACATTCCAGTTGAGTGTATATTCTTTGTCATACACAATATACCTACACATACTCACTCCTATGCAAGTAGTAGATACAAATATACACAAACACACACAAAAAATAGACAGATACAGTATAATTCTTTTCAAGTGAAAACACCATTATTAAATAATTTAATTTTAACACTTAGTCTCTTAACAATGTAAAAAAAGGATGGACACAACCTTTGAAAATTGAGTAGCTGATCATATTAAAATAGTTTTGTAAAAATATTATAGTTTAGAACTCAAATATTTACAAAATATAGTTCTTTTCTTCCATTTTCTCTTCCATTACGGTTTTTTTTTTCCCTTTTCACCTGCTCTTTATGTGCAACCGAACATGAATTCTTTTTAAAAGGCTATGGGCTATTGAAGTTTATGTCCTGTAAATTTGCTTTTTGAACAGAATTCTTTTGCTGGTTCTTCATCATTCATCACTCCAGATATTTCAGCAATTACACTTGTTATGACACAGGATTTAACTTATAAATATGACAGAAAACAGGTCTTTCAGCCTATTAACGAAAATGAATAAAATATAGAGGTAACTATATTGTATTTTCTTGAAATTAAATGCTTTCCTATAATGTTTGCTTAGAATTAACTTTGTTATATTTGTCATTTGGGTGCTGGAAATAACAAACTTGAGGAAGCATTCGACAGTGCAGTTTGTAAACTGAGGAAAGCTTCTGATTGCCATTAGCGATATGCACACAAAGACCTTGTTAGACAAAAGGTACTTTCAGTCTAATGTTCTGATTTCCACATGGACATACAGTGCCACCTCTGTAGCAGGCACTAAGAGTAAATAGACTTGCCTTAATTCTAAAGGAGGGTAGAGATAGTAAAGAACCCTGAGAGAATTCACCAGGGATTCCTTGGAGAGGGGATGGCAAGGAGGTGCCTTTGGCTGTGTCTGTTCGTTGGTCCTGCCCTGGAGGACACTTAGGAAGCAGGCTGTGGGTCTTACATGGAGAACCGGGGATGCATTCCAAGTTTACCCTCCGCCTATGCTCCTTTGTCTCAGCTGGGCATTGTGTTTTCAGAGAGGTAGGAGCACAAGGGCTACAAAGAGGCTCCAAGATGTAGTAAACACATCTTGGTGCATTTTTTGCTTTGCTTCTTAAGACTTTATGTCACAAGTACTACAAGGCAAAAAACTAAAATAAAATCCAATTTTTACCCAGTCTTCATCAGGAAATCAAAGGAGTGGGTGAAGTGAGGGGAAATAAGCAAAGGATATCATTTATACATTTGCCTTCCTGTCAGCAGTTTTGGAGCACCAATATGGTGAATACTTCTCCTGCCATAATCATTTATGTTTCCTTTATTAGTACATAGTCATGTGAACATAAGGAATGAGGAAGCATCCTTTAAAAGCCTTAGGATTTTCTATATGATGACCTCAATATTCACTTTCAGCCATACTGGGAAAACTCACTTTTCATGGAGCGCCACCTAACAGTGAATGTACTAGAATATAAAGTGTTTGGCATGATGCACCTGTGTGTATGTATACACACACACATAAACACACACACACACACACACTCAAGTAGGAACTGCATCTAATTATCCAACCTGGTTCTTTTGCAATTTTGATTCTTAAAATCAATCATCTCCTAGGTTAGTAGGCATAAACATAGCTCAAGTATTTAAATATTTAAGGGGAGAAAAATTATTTGAAAACCAGTGAAAAGTGAGACCATCAGAAATAGGACACACGTGGCACTACATTGTCTATGACACTTGAAGCTAGAGAATCTAAGCTGGACAGTGGACTTTGAATATGCATTACACACACATATACATCTTCACTTAAAGGTGTCAAAAGTCCTTTGAGGTTCTGACATGTTTTAGTAAAGCAAGGTTACATGTTGTTCTCCCCTTTTAGGATTCCAGACTAGAAAATTGGAAGTCTCAGGAAATGCATGTTTTCATGAGTTTTTCAATTCTATAGTTTTACAAATATTCAGTGACACAATCTTTTAACCTTTGATTGCACAACTAAACAGGAGCTCCGTAGAAAGAGTGTTCACCTTTTGAATTGCTAGGAGAAAATAATGCAGTGCACCTCAGGCTATGCTAAATACAATTTTTAAAGTGTTTTATTTTGCAGCACTTTGTTTTTTCAACTAGGTTCAGTAACACCATGGTGTAAATGCTATATTTGCCATAACTTATTGGTGGCTCCTGTGTTCCATGTGGTTTCAAATAATGCTCCAAATTGTTTGTTTTCCCAATGACAGTGATAAAATGTTCTGTAGAATTTGTAAAAGGTGTTGACTGAATCTGTTAAAACTTGTGTAATTTTTATTTCACTTGTGATACTATTTTATAGTTATTAGTTCTAAATGTATATTTGTATGAGTCAAAACTATGTGCTTGTCAGTGGTATGTGTAAATATATTGTACCTTACTAAATATCAAACTTATCCTAAAGAAAAAGGGCACATTATGACCAGCCTTAATTTGTCACCATTTTTTTTTTGGTTGTCATTGCTGCAATTTGGATTTAAACCTTAAACAGAAATTATGTTTTTGTTAAAGATGACTTTTTTAAAAAAAAAATCTTATGTGGTATGTGCTTTAGAAGTTTTCTGAGTTCCCACAAGCAAACCGTCCAGTTTGCAAAGCACCTATGTTTTTCAAAACGACCATGCATTGATTAATTCACTAAATTCATCATCATACAAATAGACTAAATTCACTTTTTGCTTCCATCAGAACCAGTGCATTGCTAAAGTTCTTCTCCCCAACATGGAACTCTGTAAAAAGATTTTTGCTTTAATGATAACCTTTCCATTACAAATAGTTTTTCTCTAGACCATTATTTTTGAAAACTGGATCTTCTGAAGGAAAATGCACCACCTTGGCTCTTTGAAAGTTGCTGAAGCTCCATCAACATGATGTGGTTCCAACATGGTTCTCTTTTCAAAAAATAAGCATGCAACACTCACACTATTCCCGTCTGCCCTGTGTGCATCCCACCGGTAGAAAGCTCATGATTTTAAGAATCTATCCTGGCAGTTATGCTCGAAGCAAAAATCTTACAATCTTCTTTAGACTGGGATCTGGATATGAAATATTAATTAAACTTTTTATTTCCTCCACCTCCAAGAATTTGTTTTTAATATTTAGTGTTGCCAAATAAAATACAGGACATTGGTGACATTCTAATTTTGGATAAATAATTATTTTAGAGTATTTCTTATATATTTCATCAAATATACTAAAAACTACTTATATGAAATTCAAATTAAAATGGATATATTCTGTATTTTTTCCTAAATCTGGCACCCTGTCCGCACTGCCTCTCTATCTTTTCCAGTGGGCTACCCATGAAGAGTGAGATCTACCTCCCTCTGTGTCATGATGTTAAGACACTTTGTGCAAATCTGCTGTTGGTGTACCCTTCTTGAAGGAAAATATTGGTCCACACCAGGTCCCGGAAATGTTTTATGAAGGACCAATTCAAAAATAGAAGGGAATAGCTGGACCTGCTGGCACAACCCATAATCCCAGCTACTCAGGAGACTAAGGCAGGAGTATCACAAGTTCAAAGCCAACTTCAGCAGTTTAGTGAGGCCCTGAGCAACATAGTGAGACGCTATGTCTCAAAAAAAAAAAAAAAAAGAAGGGAATAATCAAGCAATTATCTTCATTAGATTAGTGCTATAGCATTCAAAATTTCCCTTCACTAGCCTGTTTTGAAGCACATAGTCTCCCCATTTATTCCTTAAGAAACATTACCCAGTAATTGAGAAAATGAAAAACATACCCTTGTTAAAAATGTTCTTGTAAAGTAGCAGCAGTACCTTCTCACTTAGTACCAGAACCACTTTTAAAATTCAGTCTCTTTTTCTTTCGGAAAGGTGACAAGTTAATCCATTATCCCCTCACTCCCATTAACACCATTATACCACAAAATATAAAATTTGACGTAGGAAAGAACTCTTCACTTTGGAAAGAGAGGCGTCTGAGGTATGACCCTGTCAAGTACTTCACTAAAACAGGTGGAGTTGGTCAGCTGTGCTGGGACAGAACACTAGCACCTGCCAGGGACATTGGCTAGAGAAAATTATAATGACCAGTCCATTTTTATAGGAATTGAAAACCCAAGAATCCCTGGATTATGAATAACGAGAAGCAAAGACAGTCTCTAGAAGTTTTCAGAGAATAGAACCATGTTGGAATTCCTGGAACAAAGCTTTCTAACACTGCTGTTTCCAACACTGAATCCTTGATAAAACTGAAGTCTTAGAACAGCATTCCTTCAAATGATACAGGAAAACCTAAATCCCTTAACATTTCCATCTCTTGATTCCTGCCTCTACACATTTGTGTTGATTTGCTTCATTCTGGAGGATGAGAACTTTCAAAGCTGGTGACATTTCCTTTATCAGATGCCAGAAATTCACCAGAGTGAGACAGATCTGTGCCTTCTCTTTTTAGGATCTGGTCATTGACACTTTAATAAACGTGTTGTGAAAAAAAAAATTAATGCTTACAGTCTGTATAGCAAATGTGAATTTTTTTGATATTATTGTGTTCTTAATGTAAAAACAGTTTCTTTGTACCCAGTGAAATGCTAATAAAGTCCTGGCACCAGTTATCTTTATTTTTTTTTCCTTAATTCATATTCATCAATGCTTCATTATAAACCCCAAAGTGTGGGTCACTTAAATAGAACATGACTCAGAACATCAGAAAATAAACTCATTTTTAAAAAATTGTGATCATCATATTAGAATCTCCTCCACAAATATTGTACATATTTTCTACCAATAAAGGCAGTGCCACGAGTGCTCTGATATTTCAAAATTAGGAATCTCTGAGATCCAATAATGTTAGCTTCTGATATGATCCATAAGAAGGTCAATATCAACACATCAATAATACAACAAACAGCAATAATACAATAAAATATCATATTTCTATTGCAAAATACCATCAAGTTAAAATCTTAAAGTGAAGAAAAATCTCCTTTGCTGAGACATTACTGTATCTAACACATGAGATATGATTCTAGAGATGGAATTGCATTTGTATTCCACCAAATAAAACCTATGTGTTGGGGTACAAATCATGCTTTAATATAAAATTTAAGCATGATAATGTAGTTATAATGGAAGTCCAGTAAATAAATATGGTTCAAGTTATCTTTGGCGTTCACTTGGATATAAGACCCCCCAAAGGCTCTACTTGTTATATAAACTATCACATTCATGACATTAGACAATTTCTGTTTCTAAAGCTGTACTGATCTCTATATTTAGGAAGTGCTGTGTATCTACATATAATATCTGACATGATTACTATGTGTCCTTAATATAACATTTCTTTAGTTTCATTCAGCAAACATTTGGCTACTATGTGGCAGGCCTCTGATAAGCACAATAAGACATTTATTTCCAAAAAGTTCCTTAAAAGAAAGAACAAAGGGTGTTTTAATTAGCTTTTTTTTTGCTGCTGTGACCAAAAGAGACCTAACAAGAACAATTTGAGAGGAGAAAAATTTATTTGGCACTCAGGATCTCAGAGGTCTCAGTCTATAGTCTTGCTCTGGGTCCGAGGTGAGGTAAAACATCATGGCAGAAGAGTGTGGAAGAGGAAAGCAGCTCAGGATATGGACATCAGGAAGTAGGAGCGTGGAGGGGGGAGAGACAGAGAGAGCACTTTGCTCACCAGGAATGAAATACGTGCCCCCAGTGACCCAATTTGTGCAGCCACATCCTACCTGCCTAGAGTCTCCACCCAGTTAATCCATTCAAGCAGATGAATGCGCTGACTCTGTTAAGGCTCTCATAACCCAGTCATTTCACCTCTAAAGTGTCTTGCCTTGTCTAACATATGAGTTTGCAGGGGAACACCACAGATCCAGACCGTAACAAAGGGCATCTTCCTTGGGAGTTTCTCACTAGAACTAATAGGTGGTATTATCCTGTCCCCTTAAAGAATATAAAAAACAAGAACTCATTCTCAATGACCTTTCCAAAGAAATATCTCCAGGTAGTAAAATTGTTCAAACACAGATATTCCTGAGACCCTGGGGTGGGGGGGAACGACGACTTATAAAATAAGCATAATTGGAAATAAGTCACAGAAACAGATAGTAAAGAGCAGATGCCCATTCACTCCCTGATTCCAACAGCCACTATGTTCATGACTCTGTACATGGGCAAATCCAGAGGCTCCATCCCTTCACCTGCCCCCCCACACCTTTAGGCTACAGCAGAAATAATTCACACTCCACAGAGGAAGCTGATCATAGCTTTAGGATGACAACAAGTAGACTTTTATATTTCAGGTCAGCAGAGCACAGCAAGTAAAGAAGAATCTCCTCCACAGAGGGTAAAAACAGCGATGCTATCAGGATCGATGGAGTAAAAACATCATCTGGAATGAAAGCAGATATTTCTTTTTAGATGGAAAGAAATACTGTTGCATGGTAGAATATTTTAACGATGGCTCACCACGTGGATTTCAATATATGTCCTTAAAAGTTAGTCATAATAATGACCGTGCTGAGATTAGGTAGAAAGAAGTGATCCTAAATATAATGGGGCACCTGCTACCGAAATTCATCCTTCAGTCCTGTGGGTAGAAAATTTCTTGGAAGCATCTGGAGCTATTAGGCAAAGGCAAACCACATTAAAACCACGTTAAATTCTCAGAAGTGGGATTTGGTGTCATTAAGTGACAAGAAGAGTAGGTAGGGGAGAACTCCGCTGCTGGGAGTTAATAAGCACTCCCTGCCTAACTTTTATTCTCCACATACTTTTTTTTTCCATAAGAACATGAAGTTTGACTTCTGGTGGTTTTGCACAGAAATAATTAAGAAAAAAATCTTTTGTGTCAACATAACTGCTCAGATATTAAACTGTACTCTTTAATTTCTGAACAACAATAAAAATCTTTAACTTAAGCCTTGAAAGTTCTATTTTTGTATTCCCAGGGTGCAGCGAGGTATTGAAACATGTTTGGAAACAATGAAATAAAGTTGTGCCTGGTTGTGACTTAATTGAATTGTGGACAAATGCCTGATAAATACCATGAATGTACCAAGACGCTTGAGAGATGAGGGTTCATTAAAGAATACCCCTTGAATTCCTTGGAGGAATACTAAGAATATGAGGAAGATTTAGGGGGGAAATACACTGCATGGTGTTCTCTCCAAGTCTAAAAATCTCCTACCTCTTAGCTATAAAGTAAAAAAAAAAATATATTGTGGAGAATATTCATTCAGGGGAACTTGGTTTATAATGGATGTATTTTAAAAGAACCAAGAAAGGATGGGAGAAGAGATTATATTTCAAATGTCAGCAAAATCTCTTCCTCAATTTTCCTGTCCCTCATCTGCCAGTAGATACATATGGGTTTGCATGAATATGTTAATTAAATTCCACAGATGCCTGCTCCCACGTGAGTCCCCAGCTCCCATTCCCATTTGGAAGACCCTCTCCTTCCCTACACTTGTTTGAGTATGCAGATGATGTCTCCTATGGGCTTAATACAAAAACCTCCATGCCCTCTCCTGTCTACCAGCTGCTGGAGACTACAGTCTCTGCCCCTTCTCTGCCAGGCCAAGCCACCTACCAGTAGGCCCTGCTTATGCCCACCTGGGCATCCCTATGAAGGTAGAGTCCTCAGGTGGCAAAGGGGTGAATGGTTTGGGCCATGTGAAGGCAGGTGAGGAAATGCTTCTCCCTCAGGATGCATTCTAATAGAGGGCCTTCACAGTTCCATTTCCACTCCACTCGAAGGACCCATGCTTTCTTCTTCGTCAAATTCATCTTTCTTTGGCTTTTCCTTTTCTCAAGACATTATCCTAGTAGGATCCTTGTTTTTTATACAAATAGATCTTTGAAAAACCACCTCCAAATTCATTCTAGAACCCCAGATGCGTGTAGTCCAAAAGAGCCAGCTGCTCCTGCCAGAAGCCCTTTCTGTACAGATGGAAAAATGAGGAAATTGAGTAGAAGATTGTGCTTGAATCCCCAAATTTCTCTTAGTAGAATTCTTCTTCACCTGGTGCACAGAAAACAAAACTGATTCACTTGCACACAATTTAATGAGCTCATTCACCATGAAATAGTAATGTGGCTTATAATAGTAGTTATACAAATGATTTTTATTTTAGTTAAGTATTCACAGAAAAGTGACACTCACATAGCAATATATCACAGGATGGCTTTCTTCAAGGAAAGGCTAATAGTTTGGTGTCTCCCTTCCTTGCCCCTAAGTTTCCCTGAGGAACTCCATGAAAACTTTCACAACTCTCCAGAGCAATACTTCTTGAACTTTGTCATGCATACAATTACCTTGAGATCTTAATTAAATACAAGCAAGTTAGGAATAAAGCTAGATTATGCCTTCAAAACAAGCTTCCAACAATAAAGATGTTACTATGACATGTATGCCTCTTAGAGGAGTCTACGGAGCCCAACTTTAAACACTTACTTCAATGTCTCAAATTCCCCATGAGATTTACTAAGGGGGAGGAATTAATGACCAGATCTTTAATTATCAAATCTGAGTGGAGGAATTATTGTAAGGAAGAAAGTTCTATAACTAAATCTTTTAGTTTTCCAAGATTTGTCTACCTAAAATCATCAGTAACTACTTACAGTCTGATTTGTTTACCTACTACAAAGAGACAGACCACCCGGAAGATAGAACAAGGGTCATCTCACTAAAGGAAGACAAACATTGTAATGTGCAAGAACGGAGTGCAGATGAAATTTAAACACCAGTGTTTTGATAGATCCTAAGAAAAATAAGACTGTGTAAAAGGGGTCAGGTCGGGTCTAGACTGCAAAGGAGAATCTGAAGCCTGCTTCCTTTGACCCTATTACATTGCAGGCAGCTGTCATGTGGTGTGTGGAAACTCATCTGAAGCTCTGGTCCTGGACTGAGAAGAGGCTGCTTCTCTATATCAAAGTAACTGAAATCCCTGCACACAAGAACGGGGTCTTTTATTCTTACTGTTAAAATTTCAAACGGCTACACTCATTCAAGAAGAGGGTTACTATGACACCTCAGAGCTGCAGGGTCTTCATGAGAGAGAGTTCTGACTTTGCAAAGCTGACTTTACATTTATCTATTATTCCAACCTGGTGAACGGCCATCCAGACATTAATTTTTCATCCCAAGCTAATTTTAAAATGCTCAGTTTCTAAGTGACAGAAATCCAACTCAAATGATTTTAAGCCAAAACAGAAGAGGAGAAAGTGTATTACTTTTCAAACTAATTGGGGCCCAAAGAAGAGATAGTGTTGGGCTAACAATATCATCAGGGCTTGATTTTTCTATTTCTCAGGTTTCTTCTTTTTTTCTCTCTTCAGTGACTCTGTTTAAGTGGAACCTTTTCAGACTGAGTCGAGATTATCAAAGATACTTTATCCCAGTAAGTAGTTTGGAGCAAGAAACAGAATTGAGTCTCATTGGTCTGCTGTGGGCCTGAAACCAATTTCCGAAACAAGCACTGACCATTAGTCTTGTGGACCCACCAGCTGAGCTTGTGGAGGTTCCTATGTGGATTCTGACATTGGTGGATTCCAGCAAAAGTGGGGTATAGCATCTGTGGATGCAAACCATGGATCAAAAGTATTCACAGAA